AGGCCTCTGGGCAGGCTCCTGGGCTCTGTCCTCACGCCACGGAGCTGTAGCCCTAGGGCCAAGAGCCTTTTAGTACAGCGTGATGGGTGAAGAGTAACATGCTATAGAATCAGCTAGATTGGAAAAGACTTTTAAGATCACCAAGTCCATGAGGGCTTGTGGGAGCCTGCCCAGTGGGTGTGGGGACCGTGTGGTTTATAGCAGCGGGGTGTGTGTGTTCGTGTGTTAAATTGATGGGTGAGCAAGGGGAAATGTGTGCTGTATCTGTGAAAGCAGCTCTGACTGCTGGGCAGGTGGTGGGAATCCTAAGGGGTCCTGCAGTGAGGCCAAGCTCACCACCCTGTGGGGGTGACTCTGGATTTAAAAGTGACTTTGAACACTTCTGGGCCAGCAAGGGACAAAAGGAATGCAGGAAGCACAGGGCGGAGTTGCTTGTGATTGTGTTGCTAATGCTAAAACATGGATTTCCTTTAAAAGCAAATCAGACTCTTCTGCGGTTAGTTTTTTTCTGATGCTCTGCTCAGTGCCCCCAAATTTCACGGAGAATCCAGCTGGAATGGTGATTTATTTCAGAAGGCACCCAGGTGGATAGGGAAAGCAAAGGAGTACGGAGAAGGGTTAAAACCTAGGAGGCTTTTCCTTGTCAGATGCCGCTGGTTTGCTTTGAGATTAGCTCATACATGTGGGAGGGATGCCTGGAGAGCAGGTTCACATTCTCTGGCTGGAGCCTCATGGGCAAAGTCCTCCCTGGGGCCCTGCCAGCAACTGGAGACTTCAGTGCCCGCGGTTCCATGCTGAGGAGTTGGATCCTGTGGGGACAAACCCGACTTGCTGCCTCCTCCCTTGTGCCAGGTCACCCCAAGCATGGCCACCCAGATGTTCGAGGGCAGGGGGCACGCAGCCATCTACCAGAAATACAGGTTTGCACCGGGCAAAGAGCTGCAGCAAACCATTCTCACCTACCTGCAGGAGAAGGTGAGTGGGGTACAGCCAAGCTGGCATTGTCAAAGAGATGGGGCAGCATTTGGTAGGGGGGGTGGCATTTGCCTTGATGAGAGTGTCACTTTGGTTGGTGATGCTGAGAAGAATAAATCAGCAGGGCTCAAGGCAAGATGTGGGCACAGAAGAGCCTTTTCCACGGGTTGTACCATGCCGAGGCTATTCCTGTGTGGATGCTGGGGGAAGGAATGGGATGAAAGCACCAAAATAAGGTGATGGTTCCCTGAGACACATCCACTTCTCCCCGCAGAGAACAAGCCCTGCTGAGCTGGTGGTGGATGTCGGCTGTGGGTCCGGACAAGGCACCCACTTCCTTGCAGAGCACTTCAAGAAGGTGGTGGGAACAGACATCAGCGAAGCACAGATCCAGGAGGCCAGGGAGGGCCCCTCCATGCCCAACGTCTCCTACCTGTGAGTGTCGGGGCAGCAAAATTCAGGTCCTCACGTGGAGGTGGTGTTTTGTGAGTGTCACTGTTCTAAGAGCCAGCTGGCACCAAGAAAAATCCTATTTGATGGATTCCTGGTGTGAACAGGCATTATACTAGACTTTGAGTAGCCATGGTCTTGCATCCCAAGCAGTTGTCATCAATCCCAAAAAATACCCACTGGCTTCATGTCCTACTCTTTAATTCCCATATTACACACTACCCTTTTCCCTTCCCTCTTCCAGCGTGTGCCCTGCAGAGGAGCTGCCGTTCGAGGATGCCTCAGTGGACCTCCTGACTTCATTTACTGCCGCGCACTGGTTTGATACCGAGAAGTTCATGAGGGAGGCAAAGCGCGTGGTCAGGCCGGGTGGTTGCGTGGCCATCAGCACCTACACGGTGGACATGAGCCTGCGCTATGGGAACTGCTCTGAAAAACTGACCCAGGTCTTCAGGCAGGTGAGGAGATGAAACCTAAACCTCAGGGCTTCCCCCCTGGTCCAGGCAGGGGCAAGTGCTTAGTACTTAGAGGCAGAGAGGAAAGTAGTGGGCTTGGGGGATATGGCAAGATGGATGGATGAGGAAAAGAGGGCATTAGGATTAATAGGGCAAGCTGGTGTGGAGAGCACATGTTGGGGGCTGGGATTGTCAGAGACTTCTGTTGCTCTGAGCACAGTGAAAAGAATGGGAAGTAAGGAAAGAGGGGTTTTTTAGTGATGTTTCTTGACAGTGTGTTAATAACTTGATGAAAGGAGACTTTCCACTATGAGTAACAGCAGTGTAGGGAGGAGGACAGGACCCTTATCTCTCTACTAAAATAGTATCCTCAAATTCTTGATGCTAAGAAAGATTTTGGTGTATTTTAATGCCAGTGGTATTTAAGAAAAAAGTATGTTTATGAATGCATTAGACCTAGGGCCAAGTGAAACAGAGCTTTCAGGTGGCTTCTGTTTGTTTTTTAATACACTGTCTTTACAGTGCTGGGACCTGCTTTTAAAATACTCACATAACAGAATAAAACTTGTCTTGGAAGACTACAAAGAGATTTTTGAGGCCTTGCCATTTCAAGACAAGAAGAGGTGAGCAGAACCCCCTCGGTGCAGCACCAGCAGTGGATGGAGGTGGCATCTCCGCTCCTCACTCTGCCACCGGTCCAGATAGAGCTGCGTTTGCCAGAGCAGGCAGCTGCCAGCTTCCAGCAAATGCTTTTGTATTGTGGCCAACATGGGCTGCACTTCCACTCCTGCTGGACTGGATGTGGCTCTATGCTGGGCCAGCAAGTGAGGGCTAAGTGGTGCAAAAACCCTTCCTGCTCAAGGCAGAACTGGGTTAAGGGTTGTTTTTTGTGGTGAGTTATGATAATTTGAGGCTCTGGGCTGATCACTTACTGGATGAAGGGGGAACAATGGAGTGAGTGCAAGAACCTGTCCAAAAACTGCAGGGAGCCAGTGCCTGCCTCCTCACCAAGGCCTGGGGTAGGGGGTGACTCTGCAGGCATAAAGGACATGTAAGCAGTGGTGTTGCAGAGGTGTTGGTATCCTGGCTGCTGGAGGGGAATAGGCCTGTATTGAAAGGGCTGATCAAGTCACAGACTCTGTTAGACAGTTCTTAGAGCCATCTCTGCTTCTCTAGTAGTGCATCAGTTGGAGCTTCTTACCCACCAAATGCCACAATTGGATGTTGTTTACATCTGTTGGTATGTGATGGTATCAGGTATTCACCACCATGTCAATCTGCTGTCCTTGTTCCACTGCTTGTAAGATTTAACTTTCCAATGCTCCTTTCTCCCCCATCTCTCCTAGAATCACTGATATCTTTGACAAAATTCCCATGACTGTTGCTGGTGTGGTGGGTTACTTAGAGTCGTCTTCTCCATATCAAGCCTTTATGAAGAATGACCCTGAAGCTGCAAAATCCCTCCTCCAGGAGACTGAAAAGAGGTGAGAAATCTGCTTGGGAAAACAAG